ATCATTGTTGAGTCAGAGAGGAGCCACCATACCACCAAGTCGAGGATCTCAGCATCAGGGATTGGCAGGGGCAGCCAGAGAAGGAACTAATCCTCCAATACCATAAGCCCGGTTCACATGTGTAATTTTGTTATCATGGTATTCATGTTGACCATGATATGAATAACCATCGCCATTTATTATATATCTGTGATATTGACACTGATTTAAGAGGTACCGTTATCTGTGATATTGACACTGATTTAAGAGGTACCGTTATCTGTGATATTGACACTGATTTAAGAGGTACCGTTATCTGTGATATTGACACTGATTTAAGAGGTACCGTTATCTGTGATATTGACACTGATTTAAGAGGTACCGTTATCTGTGATATTGACACTGATTTAAGAGGTACCGTTATCTGTGATATTGACACTGATTTAAGAGGTACCGTTATCTGTGATATTGACACTGATTTAATCTGTGATATTGACACTGATTTAAAAGGTATCTGTGATATTGACACTGATTTAAGAAGTACCATTATCTGTGATATTGACACTGATTTAAGAGGTATCTGTAATATTGACACTGATTTAAGAGGTATCTGTGATATTGACACTGATTTAAGAGGTACCATTATCTGTGATATTGACACTGATTTAAGAGGAATCTGTGATATTGACACTGATTTAAGAAGTATCTGTGATATTGACGCTGATTTAAGAGGTATCGTTTTCTGTGATATTGACACTGATTTAAAAGGTACCGGTATTTGTGATATTGACACTGATTTAAGAGGAATCTGTGATATTGACACTGATTTAAGAGGTATCTGTGATATTGACACTGATTTAAAAGGTACCGGTATCTGTGATATTGACACTGATTTAAGAGGTATCTGTGATATTAACAATAGAAGGAAGAATGAATGTTTTGTGTTAGATCAGTCCATGATGTGTAGAGTTCAGATAATGGATCAACTGAGGATTGTGAATAGCAATATTTAGAATTTTAAATGCAATTTTAAAAATAAAATTTACATTTTACAAAGTCTCTCTTGCAACACATGAGTGCTTAATAGTGTCATTTAATTTTTATCACAAATGGTGGATAAATTGACCCAAATATATATACAGATTATGTTTGTTGACTCTCACAAGAGCCCATCCCATTGTATTGGAAGTTATATATGCCCTTGCTTTTATCTACCCTTGTGTAGTGTACTCAAACTTTAATTATTAGTTAACCAAACTTGGAGTTCCAGACATCATAGATTGTTGTTTAACGTTCATATTAGAGTTACCTAATACAAGATGCAGTTTTGAAAAAAAAAAACACTGACATTGTACTCCTAGATTACTCACTGATTTAATCGTAAATATTTGAATAACATTTATAAACTCAAAATTTTACCAATCACAGTTACTGTGATTTAGATGTTAATGGTGCAGAGGAATGTAATTTCCCAAAAAACCTTAGTGGTTGTCAGAAATCTGTCTTGTGCAAAGAGGGTGGTATATTATAAATACTTGGAGCATCCATGGGTAAATGATAGATTCATAAAAAAAAACTATTTTTAACATTTCTTGATTAAATTTATTCACAAATGCTCAGTTGACTCATTACTATGTTGGATTTAAAATTGTTGTCATTAATGGATTGCTTTGCAATACTGTGGACACAACAAACTCATTACCTTTTATGAATAATTTCAATGGCAGTTGAATCCAACCAAGCCAATCAAGTGCAGTGGAATTTATAAGTATTTATAAAGTTCCAGTGAATGAGTTTGTTATTACAGTAACATAACCGTATAGATAACACAACTATGGAAATATGTAATTTAAATTCTGTGGACTATGCAGGAATATGTTCTAATCATTTTATTGAGTTTTATAATATGTTTTTGTATATATATTTTTTCTTATATGGTGTACAGATATCAGTACTGTATTTTATGTATACATGTATATGATTGTGTAAAAAAAAATATTTTTCTACTTTCTGTACAATTAATTAAACAGCTGTGTTGGATTGGGAAATTTGTGAAAATATTTCAGATTTAAATAAATGTTATTTTCTCTTACTGTGTGATAATGTTTTGTGTGTCAAACAAACTATGATAAACAGTTTGTGTGAAAGACACAGCTAACTAGTAAAAAGTTAAATTTCAAAAGCAATACAGATTCTTAAAAGATTCGGTCAAATAAATTAAGCGAATACAAATTTGGGGCACTCAAACTGTTTCCATGGGAACAATTAGTATGTGATTTCCCTGTAGTGCTTTTCTGGCCAATTGGGCAATGTGCATACAATTAAGTTTCATAAGTAAACAATCAGACATGGGAGACAAATTTAGTGATTTCAAGAAACTCTGTCATCATTTGGATGGACATTATTTGCAGGATATAGTTTATCTGTGACTATGCATGTGTCTCAAACATGATTTACAATAAATTTACAAGAACTGAATCTGGCACTATACAAACTAAGTGCAAGTGTCTGCAAATTACATTCATGAGCATTTCCTGGTCTACTCAATGGATATCGTGTACTATATGTACATTGGCTGATGCGAATTTTCAAACAAAAGCAGAAGAATTGTGTACATTGAGGGCGCAAAACCTCTTCACAAACATCCGAGGCATAAAAATTGGTTGGAGCTGCTAGCGCTTACATTTCTTAGTTGATTATTTCATCACTGGCTAACCAGCACGGCCATGGAAACTGTACTCAATATACGAGTTGGTAATGGGAGAGGAAGAGGTAGAGCTGCGTTGTACAAAGACTTGTATGAGCAAGCGAGAAGACCCGATTCTTCGTACGACAAAAGGAAAATTGAACCGAACTCTGTGGTTGGCACGAGTTCAGTTTCAACAGGGCCAGGGTCAGTCTCTGAAAGACAGCATTCCTTGGTGTCGGACCGAAAGATCGAGTCCAGTACTGAGAAACAGTCGGAGGCTGGTGCGTGTAACAACAATACTGATCGTATAGAGACTGCCAAAGGTATGTACAGTGCGTAGATGTCGTTTTCGTTTCAAATAACTCACTGCTGCATTCACCTCACCACAGACCTCGCTATGGACGTTGCCGTGTGTGCAGCTCGCGAGAGGATACTTCGTTCATTTACACGGGATGAAGTATAACTTGAGATTGACTCAATTGGTACACCAGGATGGGAGTCGTGTTCACCTGTGATGTGTATTTTCGATCTGGTCGCCACCAGCGATATAACCCCCCCCCCCCCCACATACATACACACACACACACATACACACACAGTCTACCTTACGTGGATGTGCCGCCCTTTTGGGTGTGTTTTTTCAGCCATCGGGTCTTAAATGTGATCCACAAATTTTAGAGATTTGGTCTAAAATGGGGTCCACTGATTGCCAAATGGGCATGGGTCTATAAAAAGTTTATTTCTTTATATATTTTCATTTCGTGGCATTTTCCGGATTTTCCAGATGTTTTTGATAAACATATCACGCCGTGTGTGTCAACATGAAGTTCGAGGTATGTACGGGTACCTCAAAAGCATATCTTAGGCTGAAGCCATAACACTTAGATGTCTTGATCTGAGTGTACGTTCAGAGGGCATGCAGATGCCACACAAGACAAGTCTGCATGTAATACTGATTCTTTTGTTTTATTACTATAAATAAAATCCATTAACCTAGTAGTAAAACTGGTTTTCAGTGGCGAATATTTGGAGATGTCGATAGAACGAATTAAGCGAGAAGCTAAGTCCATTTTCAAAGATGTCAGGGCCAATATTTAATCCTTCGTTCTTGTTTAAATATGCATGGCATGCTGACTATAGTTGGAATGTCAGGATTGAACATACACACTTTGTGTTACTGGGAGATGGTAGGATAGGAAATAAGGCAATAGTTATTCATTCAATGTATACGCATTTCCATGCACACTTAAGCAGAAAAAACTGAGATTACCACTGTAAAATATCTATAATGTATTTTTGCAAATGGAACACAATAAAAAGTATGGTCTGAGATATTTGCATGTTTGTTTTTGTCTTGTTGACTCCCGTGTGCGAAGCACAAAAGGGAGTCTTTGCAGTTACCCTGTCTGTATGTCTGTATGTATGTATGTCACTTTTTTTGTTCCACCGTTATCTCAAGAACCACTAATCAAATTTTGGTGAAACTTGGTACGCAGATGCTCTGTGATAATGCGCAGAGCTGATTAGGTTTTGGTAAAAATCTATGAATATTAATTACCTAATTTGCATGATAATTAGCTGATTTTTAGCTGTTCCAAGACTGTTCCACTGATATCTGAAGAACCACTCATTGAATTTTGATGAAACTTGGCACATGGATGCTCTGAACTACTGCGCAGATTTGATTAGTTTTGGGTAAAAATCTATGAATATTAATTACCTAATTTGCATGATAATTAACTGATTTTAAGCTGTTCTATGACTGTTCCACTGATTTTTGAAGAACCACTCTTTGGATTTCAATGAAACTTGGCACATGTATGCTCTGAACTAATGCGCAGATTTGATTAGTTTTGGGTAAAAATCTGTTAATATTATTAATTACCTAATTTACATAATGATTAATCAATTTTCGGCTTTTCCACTGATATCTCAAGTACTAATCATAACATTTAAATAAAA